ACGAGCGGAAACCGAGGTAAGCGGATATGACGACCCCGATTTTATTAACGACCCACTTACATCATCTTTTAAAACTGACCCGTGTTCGATTTTTGCATTTACACTATACACTGCTGAAACTACCAAATGTAGACGTTCTGACCCGGAAAATGAAGTAAAACAGCGCGAAATGCAATGGATATGCAGATGCGAATAAAATTATCCAGTGTTTTCCTTTCCACAATATTTTGAAAAGTCATCAAAACATTGGTCAAAGTGTAGCAGTTCACCTCCCCTCGCTGCTTATGACTACGCTCAAAACAGGGCACCCTATTTAAGCAGATTCAGTTCGCCCCTAAAGGCCAATTTATACTTCTGCGTCGAGGGTACGCCGTAGTGTACGGCGTTGGCTACGCACGTAGGCGACGCCGTTGTGAGCATTTATACTTCTGCGTTCAGGTCTTGGTTGCTTTGCAGTACTGCTCCGAAACACTAGTTGGCGGCGGAGGGTTTTAATGTTCCACTGTGTTTAGATTCCTCACGGCTAGGTTACTACAAGCAATATCGACTGAAAGAGAGCTGATCATGTTGGAGTTGGAGCTTATTGAGGTGGAAAAAACAGTTCACTTTAGTGAAATTACTAAAACTGAAAGGCAGAAATGACAGAAGACGTCGGAGGAGATGGTACGTGTGGAAATCATAGACAGTGGTGGAAATGCGTGAGAAGGTACGTGCGGAAATGCGTAGGAGGAAATGCGATGCTACCAAGCCGACCAATCACCGATCTTGCGGTCCGCGTCGTCGCGACGTGTAGTTACCTTTTTGAAGAGGTGCGCGTCAGGCGACGGCGAAGGGTACACGGTATGGGACGCGTCTGTGCGTATGCTACGCCGTCCCTACTGCGCGCACCCTACGCAGAAGTATAAATTGGCCTTAACTGCTTGCTGCTCACTCTCTGCAACCTACCTCCTCCCCAGCTCCTCCTTGTCATGTATAACGTGGCATTTGCTTTTCTGTCATCGTTACTGCTCTGTTCATATGGGGGAATAGTTCTGCTCTCCCAGTACTAAACTGAGAGCATTCCCTAATGATGCTGCTCTCCTCTGACTCTCTGCTATTTCATGGTGCTCATGAAAGGTCAGAGGACTCCCTGAACTGAGCCATACCACCAAATTTTAATTATCAACTTGAATTGCAATTTATTCAAAACAATTCCCTAATCATTTATTATCATGTGTGTTCTTGACTTAAAGAGTCTATCTTAACGAGCTGAGGATCTGAATCAGGTGTGTTAAGTAAGGGAGACATACACAATATGCAGAGCAGTGGGTCGCGAGGACTGGAGTTGAGAACCCCTGACTTAATGGACCTGACAGAATTCTGTTAAAGGGCCAGAACCAGAAACTGGCAGAGCATCCCTTGTGGCCCACTGGCAGACAACAGTCATCGTAAAGAAACAAATGAGTATATCATCCTCATAATTCACTACATTTGCCATTAGTAAAAATTCACAAATGTGTTCCTTGAGGGAAAAATTGTCCTAGGTGAGGCTGATGAGCCTAAATTCTGGAATGCAGGTAAGTATATGGATAGATAAAACAAGCAAAGCAGATGACTTGATGTTAACAGTTAACAGTCCAAGCACACAAGGAGACAAGGGAGTAAACACAACGGATCAACAAAGGAGCAGACAGGCAATGAAGAACAACAATGGAGAACAGGTAATGGTGAACAGACAATTGCGGACAGATTGTAGAGGTGTCCATGTACAGTAAGTATACCCAACAGGTAAGATAAACACAAGAGTCTGAGCATTCTTTGGTAAACAATGACGAGACAAAGTGTGTATTAAGGGGCTGCATCCAGAAACCTTGACAGCGGACTTGTTGCCTTGCTGCCTTGTCATGCAATGACAAGGCAGGCAGTGTTTGCGCACAAAGGTACTTCACAAAACTGATTTCGGATAAACATCTGAGGCAGCGTGGTTGTTAAATGTTCTACAGCAAAAAAAAAAAAAAAAAAAAAAAAGCTTTATATTTAAGCAAATATTGAATCACTACAGTAATTCAGTACATTTACACACAAACTGACCAGCAACCAGGAACTTTAAGACGCCATCTTTGTTTTTCTAGCTAGATAGCAAACTGACATTGAATCAACGTGGAAATATGACATCGAAACAACGTGATCTGACATTGTTTTGCTCATCGAATTAACATTGAACCAACGTCAGACGCGTCATTCTTTCAAAACTAACGGAAAATCAACTTGAAATCAACGCGTTGTTTCAACGTTATGAAAGCAAACCAATTTTCGATTTTCATTTAGCTTTGAAGAATGCCGCGTCTGACGTTGGTTCAACGTTAATTCGATGAGCAAAATCAACGTTGTTTCAATGTCACGAGAGACGTCGTTTCCACGTTGATTCAGTGTCAGTTTGCTGTCTGGGCTGTTAAATAATGGAACACTTATTGTGTGATATCAAAGGCGAAGGATACATCGATGCTGCCTTCAAAAATCCTTCGATCAGATGAAGAAATATTAACAGACAGGAAGTGAAGCTAACATTAGATTCGGACATTCATTTGGTTCCTTCCAACCTAGGAACGCGTCCTCTGAAGGTAGCATTTTTTCATTTCCGGATGCAGCCATCCCAGATAGCAAACTGACATTGAATCAACGTGGAAATATGACATCGAAACAACGTTGATCTGACATTGTTTTGCTCATCGAATTAACGTTGAACCAACGTCAGACGCGTCATTCTTTCAAAACTAACGGAAAATCAACGGAAAATCAACTTAAAATCAACGCGTTGTTTCAACGTTATGAAAGCAAACCAATTTTCGATTTTCATTTAGCTTTGAAGAATGCCGCGTCTGACGTTGGTTCAACGTTAATTCGATGAGCAAATCAACGTTGTTTCAATGTCATGAGAGACGTCGTTTCCACGTTGATTCAATGTCAGTTTGCTGTCTGGGATCCCTGTTGAGCAGGTAATGATGGCCAGGTGTTCGCAATTAAAATGTGGGTGAGAGTGAGCAGAGTTGCAGATGTTTTAGTAATTATAATTGCCAGACCAAATGAGTGTCTGCAAGAAAATTTAAATCATCATGAAAGTCAGTACAGACAGAACAAGAAATATTTATAACTTCCATAGAACATGGGACTTTAAGTTTCAAAACTTTAATGAAGCCCATGCCAATCTGAGAAATGTCCTCCACAGATTAGTTTTATTCATAAACCACTAACGGTTAGAGAACACTAGGAAAGGGGATCAGTGTTCAGTCCTTTAAACAACTTTACCCTTCAAGACACTTCGTTGTGGATAATGGGAAAGCAGAGAGACTCTCTGTTTCCAGCAATGAATGTGCCAGTTATGGTGATGGGGTTAATTCTGTCACGTTCTAAGGTAAACTAATCCCCACAGACTTAAGACAGCTGACCAAAGCAGATTGTGCTTTTCAGAAGGCAGTTTTAAAGAAACCAAACTAAAAGTACCAACTAAATCAGTGTTCAGACAGAGGGTAAAAACAGGTGCTTCAACTGTATAATTATAAGACAAATATTGAACATTAAATCATGTAGACATATTGGCCCTCATTTATCATTCTTGCGTTGAAACGGGCGTATATGTTGGCGTAAGATTATTCTTACTCTCCTCTCACCGCATGATGTGCGTACCTTTAAAATCCAGGTGTACGCAATGCCTGCCCTTGATAAATCCTGCGGCTGAAAACGATCGTCATTAGAATAACACACCCCTAAATATTCAAGTCTTGTAGTCCCCTATTCAAAAACGTCCCCTATTCAAAAACGTAGACTGAGTCCATGAACACCCCTAAAGCTTGTCTTATACCTCTTCCTTGGTTTACCATTTCATTCGGTAAAGTTAGCATAAAGTTTAGATTTATATGCTGTTGAATGTTTGATGATCATGCTTGCATGTGTGTAAGCAATATTCTATTGCCTGTTTTTTGCTGCTTCTTAGCTTATTTTTGGATGTCCTATTTCAGAAAATGCAAAACAGCACCCACTACTGAATAAAAGTGAATACGAGGTGGAAGAGTTGTTTCATAAATTACGGAAAATCTTGTCAATGGCGTGGTAAGAGTTAAGTGTTCAGATATGGCTGTCTGATTCTGTCCAGGAAACTCACAGAACAAATGATGAAGGTATAGAAAGGTAATAACTAAATCACATATTAGTCTGATCAATGTTAAATTGGTATGGAAAGCTGATAAAGTGTCTTATTTTGTATTTTGTTTTGAGGATTTTGTACATCCTCAATATGCATCTAAAATAATTCCTTTCACCAGATTATTATGCAATATACGTATAATGTAAATTATAATGTATTATGTAAATTATAAAAATAGCATAAACTTTTGGGTAATAGTATGTTACATTGTGCCAAATCCTCAGACTGATCTCATGAAGTAGCGTGTGTATGCCACGCCAATTCGTATTTCCATTTTTGGCCTGCTATCAAGACGCATAATCGCCTTTCAGCGTGTTTATGAACGCCGTTGACTTAACGTTATATAAATATATGACTTACCTCAACCCCGTCCCTAAACCTAACCGTCACTGGGGTTAATGGCATTTATGACTGTTCCCTTACCATCCTAGGTAAAAAAAAAGATATGACTTACCTCAACCCCATCCCTAAACTTAACCGTCACTGGGGTTAATGGCATTTATGACTGGAGATTTGACTGCGTGTACAGACACGCGGAATTACGCGGACATTAATGGCGTAGACATACACGCATACACGCGGATAGCTCAAAATGCATAGAGATAACACGCCACCTGACTCGAAAGTGGCGTATATGTTTACGCAAAAGTCATGATGTCATGTTGAAATCCTGCAAATCAGAAAACCACTGGGCTACTGATGTGATTGTGCATATAATCTGGTGAGCAAAATGATCTTCAGAACGTGTTCTTTAATTCACAGTCATTAGCTTATCTCACTTTCTTTCTTTCTTTCTTTCTTTCTTCCTTCCTTAGTGGCTGCTCCTGACCTCCTTGATCCTAAAACAGCCGCTCATAACTCCAGACCTCGTCTCTCATTCTCGGCTCAACCAGTGCTGTTGAAGTCTTCTGAAGACTTTGAGCCTCGTGTAACCGTCATGCGCTGGAAAACAGTGCTGACCGTCTTCCTGCTGGTGGTGCTGTACTTGATTATTGGAGCAACTGTGTTTAAAGAGTTGGAACAGCCTCACGAGATGTCAAAGAAACTGGCCATCCTAGTGGAAAAACTGGAATTCCTCGAGCAGCATCCATGTGTGAACTCCTCAGATCTGGAATATTTAGTGAAGGTAAAACAGCAGACTTGCACACAAATCAGTTTCCGGGCCACACAAATAGTTTCCCTCGACCCACGTAACAGTTTAGTATGACGGCCCTGGGATGGCTTGGATCTGGACTACAGACATGAACCACACAAGGGCAATAACAGGTAGCCTGACTACGTCAGACTTCCTACTTCCGCTAATTTCATTTCGCTCCTGTAGTCAGTCTGAGATCGCAGTCTATCTTTCAGTTTTCCACCGGTCTGAAAACCGGGCTGAGAGCCGTGACGTAGGCGCTAAGCGCCGAGTTTTACATTGTAGGTTAGAGAAATCGAAAACCGCAACGACCGCAGAAATGGGAAACGAGACACTGGATGCAATTCGCTCTGTTAAGGAGAGTATTCCGGGGTTTTTCAAAGGTCATTTACAACCATGTTCACTCCGGTATTGCGCTCGCATCATCAAGTGTTTACAGCCAGGACCGGCACTTCTGCTGCTCTAGGCGAAAAACTATTTTGCCGCCCCTCTATTTGCAACGAATACCAGCAACAACAAACAAAAACCAACATGCCATTTAACTAGTCTAAAACTAGTCTAAAGTCAGTCAGGACACCTCCCACTTGGCAAAATCAGGACGATGGCTTTGCACGTTGTTCATAATGCGATTTTAAGGGCGCATGCTTGGCCATTATATAGCTTGCACAACGTGCACTTTGATTCTCTCATCAACACAGATGCAGCCGTTTTTATTTTTGCAAATCATACATTATAACAAGGAAAAATATTAACACTTCAAGCTTACACATTTGGCTAGCCAAATTTTTCAGGCTAATTGTAGTAATGACGGATCAGACCTGTTTGGCCATAACTATATGCATAACTATAAGGACATAACTTACCCCCATTCAACGTCTTTTACGGTCTCCTCGGCTGTGAACGCTCCTGTCACGCTCTTATTATCATATTATTATTATCATAATAATAACAACAATCCACCATATTTCGTTTCGACATCCTGCTGCATTAGTCCCAGATAGGTGATGATGAACGAACTGTTCATTGCGTATGTCACGTGACAAATGAACGTGAGACTCGGAAGGTGAAGTAATTATTTATGTTCCCTGTAAATAATTTTTTACTGCATTATGATTTCCTAATTCAGAATATGATCAACATTGCGTAGGTGGATGTGATCGGGGAATTTGGCTGTTAAAATTATAACATTTAAAGCCACTTAAATAAACAAAATGACTCGAATGACTCAGAGAGTCAGTAAAATGAACTTCCTATTTCCCAGTCATGACTTGTGAGAGCAGAGGCTCGGGCTCGCCCTCGTCTGGGCTGCGGGGAAGCGGAAGCTAAATCAGTCATGACTTGTGAGAGCAGGGCGCGCCGACGCTGCGGGGCGGCCGCAGCTCAGTAAACCATATAAATAAACCATATCAACACATCAGTCTTTAACCAGAAACCCCAAAACTGAGCCACAAAAATGACATCAAATTTGCTCAGCCATGGATCCATCCATAGGCAGCAAAACACACATTCACACCAATAGACAATTTAGTGTTAGCAATTCCATCTTTGGATTGTGAGGGAATCCAGATCTGTGGGAAAGACCTTCTGGCTCAGCTGGGAGTTGAACCCGGGACCTTTTAGTTGCAGTGTTTCCCACTGAGCCACTGTGATGCCCTTAATCTGTGATGCCCTTAATAAGACACATATACTATGTTTTATAATGTTGTGTGTTTAAAAAAAAAAAAAAACAATAAAAAAAAATTCACCGCAAGGATTCACCGCATTATGTGTGTTTTTACGAACACTTTCAGTTCTGATGCTCACAATCCTTGTATTTATAACCCCTTTCATGTAACAATAATTTATATAGCATCATGTTTATCAAAATAAAACTGATAAAAATATAGACCCACTTTATTGGTATTTAAATAGTACAGGCTTATGTTGAACTTATTGTACTAAACACATGTTTACACAAAGTGTTTCTGTTGCTTCACGAAAACGTCTGTGTATTTGACAAAAAATGCACTTAAAGGAGTAGTTCACTTTTGAAAAAACTTTTGCTGATAATTTACTCACCCCCATGTCATCCAAGACGTCCATGTCGTTCTTTCTTCAGTTGAAAAGAAATTAAGATTTTTGATGAAAACATTCCAGCATTTTTTCCATATAATGGACTTCAATGGGAACCAAACAGAACCAAACAAAAGGTCCAAAAGACACTTTCAGTGCAAACAGCAAACTGTTCAAAGGGCTTTAAATGATTTCAGATGATGAATAAGGGTCTTATCAAGCGAAATGATCGGTCATTAAAAAAACAAACAAAGTTTAAGTTTTATAAGCTCAAATGCTTGCCTTGCTCTGTTCTGTGATGCACGTTCGTGACTCTCCTGTTCGAACTCGTTCATCAAAATGAACAAATCTTTTTCAAGTCATTTGGTTCATTCAACGAACGAGAAATTAAGAAATCATTAAGAAAAATATAATGAAATTAAATGCATTTGCAAGGTAAGAATAAACTGCTGCTGCAGTGAACATTTGAGAAGGCAGCTGAAAGAAAATATCTGACTACATCAATGCAAGTGAATCAAACAAATAGACCTTAAACTTATAGGTTCACAAAGAGCTCAAACGAAATACACAGAAGCTTAATCTGTTTAAAAGCTCATCTTAAAGCTTGCATTTGTGTACATATATACTTAATTGATTAAGTGGCTTAATTGCATCAGATACACTTTACTCACAGCTGATTGGTCCAGTTTGGGTTTGCGAAGCCATAAAAAAACCTCCTCCATGCCATACAAGGTTAGCCATGTAAAGTTACCATGGCAATGAAACCCATTCTTAAGCCTGAAAAAACAAAGTTTGCTCAAAATAATGTCAAACTTACCTGGGTAGCAACTGAATCTGGCTATCTGCAACAGGCCACAGGAGTTGTCAGCTCCTTGTTGACAAAAATCAAAAGCATCATGAAATCAGCTTTTACTGATCTCAAATCTCCTCATTAATTATTATAGTGATATGATTTTATCTTTGTTTATAATTTGTGTCACTGACTTCTGTGAAACTGCAGAATGACATCCAATAGCATTAAAAGAATTAGATCATCTAAAAGTGTGCACAAATAATTTTAAGCCACTGGATCTTGTAGACACATAAACATCAAGATTATTCATCTGAATCTCAACAATGGTGACAATAAAAAAGCTTCATGTTGCAATGCATGATGGGCACCAGCACAGTAACTTCATGCTGCAATAAACGATGGGTACCAGCATAGTACAAAACTCACCCATGACTCCCAGCATGCATCAATTATGCAGAGGAATTGTCTTACTGCTTTCTGATTTTATTTTTGCTGATTTTTATCTTTATGATTGTTATGATTGTATCTGTAATTGTTATACGCACTTGAATACTGTTGATTGTCACCATTGTTGAGGTTTGTATGATAAGTGTTAATGTCCACACAACTGAATAACCATTGAAAGTCTCTTGAACAACTGATGTCATCAATTTGTGGTGATCTCCCTTCATGTTGTTGCTTCATAGAAATATTTATACTACATATGTTTAATAGAACCTTTGAATAAATCATTACAATACTTCAACACAAAAGCTTGTGAAGTTAACTGTTTTAAGACATTCACTTGAATGTCTCAAGTGCAATCATCAATCTTTTTCATTATTAATGCACAAGTGCTCTCAGCAATACTCTATTGCAAATAATGAAAGAGAATTGATTTAAAAATAAGGAGTCAAGAGCCTAACATGCGAACACTGCTCACCATAATTGTGACTTCAAATGAACTATTTTAATGAAAACATCAACATTAACTAGATCTAAACCTCTGTTTATTCTCAATGATAACTTTTGTAGATGTATGACAAATAAAGTTATGCAATTCTTCAAGTGCCTGTATCTTATGGCTGTGATAAAGGGCATCACAGTGGCTCAGTCACCGCACAGCAAGAAGGTTCAAATCTCAGCTGAGCCAGAAGGTCTTTCCCTCAGGTCCGGATTCCAAATCCAATTATGTGTGAATTGTAGGAACTGACTTGGTGTGAATATGTGTTATACTGCCTATGGTTGAGATGGTTTGTTGCCATTTTTTATGGCTCAGTTTGGGGCTTTCTGGTTAAAGACTTGCGTTGGAATGGTTCACTGAAGGCTAAGATTTGGTACCACAATAAAAACTTCTGCTCAGGGCTGGTTATGAGTTTTTATTTGCCTGAGATTCTGGGCCATTATTTCCCATATGTGGCTCATGTCTGGAGTCCAGATCTAAGCCATCCCAGGGCCGTCATTCTATATGGGCCGAGGGAAACTGGTTATGTGGCCCGAACAGTTGCTATGTTTGTAGCAAATTGAGCTTTGTAAGCTCTTTGAGGCCCATGGCTTTGGCAATAAAATGTGACCAAGAAGATGCTAAGAAACCACAGATTTTTATTCAGGGTTAATTAGCATTATGATAACCCAATGATTGTCATTATTTTTCAGTAAGAGTTAAAATGTGATTGGTTTACTACAAACAGAGCACCATGCCCCAAAAGGGTCTTCACACTTCACACAAGCAACCAGGTTGTTTTTGTGTTACATAAATTTGGCTTGTTTCAACATTACATTAAAGGTGAAAAAAAGATCTTATTTTTTACATCTCAAAAAGCTGCACTTTTAAAATGAAATGAGTGTGTAGACTTTTTATACCCACTGTATATAGCCTACATATTTATGTTTTGCATCACAGTACAAGAAAGATGTCCTTATATTTAGATGTTCCTTCCATCTAACGCCTGGCTTTAAGCCTTCAGTCCCTCTGTTGAGTCTAAGAAAGCTCCCAGATCTGCTAGTCACACACACACACACACACACACACACACACACACACACACACACACGCATACACTTCTCTGAAGCTTCTGTCCTTTCTTAAGTATGCTGCTGATTGCTACTGTATGCAGCATGCCTGAGGCTCTTTGCCCCTGAGGAGATGCATCACATGCCAAAAACC